AGCAGCGGTGGTGTGCAGGGGGGTTGGTGCCTACCACGGGTTGATGTGCGGCGCGGCCCTGGCTCGCCCTGAGCTGGGCCTGCAGGTGCGGGGGAGGGTGGAAGTAGCGACAGGGGTCACGAGAACAGCGGCTCTTGATAGCGTCCATGCAAACTGTGACAGTGCCCTCGTCTGTCGTGCTCACGTGATCGGGCGGGTGGGCGAAGCGGCACTCCTGCTCAGGCCTCTTGCAGGCACCGCGCTGAAACTCGCGGCACACCTAGAGGCAGAAGAGCGTACTACAGCGGGGCGACCCAGCAGCAGTGGAGGGGGGATAGAGGGGACACCAGGGACAGAACCAGGAGGACAGCTAGCCAGGGAAGCAGGGGGCAGCTGTAGACAGGGGCAGAAAAGGGACAGGGTGCAGCTGTTGACAGTGGGCAGGAGGTACGGGGCAGCTGTAGACGGGCAGGAGAGAAATATGAAGGTAGCAACTGAAGAAATAGTGTAAAAGAGGGATAGGTGGAGGCAGAAACGGAAAGTAGAGGTGGTTGTTGTTGGTGTTTGGAGACGAGAGGAAGGTGAAAGCAAAGGTGGTTAAAGAAAAGGGAGCTGAAAACCCAGCTGGAGACTGGATGAGGCACAAGGATAAGCCAGCTGGAGAGTGGAGGATGGGGCACAAGAATAACCCAGCTGGAAAGTGGAGGATGGGGCACAAGAATAAGAAGTGACGGTTGGTGACAGATGAGTAGGAAGGATTCAAGAATGTGAATGTGGGACAGGACGAAAGGGAACAGGTCGAGGGAAAGGGATGGGGGATAAGACGAAGGGAGGATGGGGGATAAGACGAGGAGGGGATGAGGGAAACGAGACGTGGGGCGAAGAGGTCGAGGGAAAAGGTGGAGGAAACGGAACGAGAAGTTACGGAGGCAGGACTAGCTCTAGGGAACGGGATTAGGAAAGCAGGAAGAGGGAAGGGATGGAGACAGGTCGAAAGGAGAACAGAGAGAACTGGTGAAAGGCAGGTCGAGGGAAGGATATGGGAAAGGTCAAAGGATGGTAGCAGCTGATGGGAAGGTCCAAAAGAAGAATATCGGAGGAACAAAGGTGTAAGGTCAAATAAAGCTTGCATCGTGTAGGGGTGTGAAGTCAGTGACTGTGGTGAGATCACTGATTGTAGGGGGTGTGAGGTGTGGGGTTGTGAGGTCAGTGGTTGCGGGGGAGTGAGGTCAGTGATTGTGGGAGTGTGAGGTCAGCATGGATGGTGTGAGGTCAAAGCGTGTGACGGGATTAAGAGGGTCAGTGAATTTAATGATAAAGGGATAGTGTATGAGGGGAGGGGGATAATAGAGTGTATGTAGGGGAAGCTAAAAATGCAGTGTGTGTGTGTAGGGATAAAGGGACTGTATGTGAGGATAAAAGGACTGTATATGGAGGGGATATGGGGCAGTGTGTATGGGTAGTGAAAGAATAGTGTTTAGGTGGATGGGGATACAGAAGCAGTGCATGTGAGGGGTAAATGGGCGGTGTGAAAGTTTTGAAGGGGCAGTACGTATGGTTGGTGAAGGAGGGCAGTGTGTGGGTGGCAAAGGGGCTGGGCAGTAAGAATGCAGAGCGTGTAGTGTAACGAAGAGAGGAACAGTGTCTGCTTCGCAGAAGTTATAAAAAAAAAATGAAGGTCAAATACCAACAAGTGGGTTCTAGGTTGTGAGAACCAGGCGCACTAGTGATCCTCGGGAACGTTAAGCAAATTTGATCCCGTTATGACAGCTAATATATACACAAAATTCAAGATGAAACAGTGTCTAACGCTTTCTTCATTGGATTTTTTTTTCATTTTGGTCAAATTGCACTTTAAATTATCACGTGTTTTCTGTACAACAAACACCAAAGTCTGCAGTCAGTCACATCTTGTTCTAAGTGTTGTCCACTGGTGACCTAGCTGGTCAAGTGTTGTCCACTGGTGACCTAGCTGGTCAAGTGTTGTCCACTGGTGACCTAGCTGGTCAAGTGTTGTCCACTGGTGACCTAGCTGGTCAATTGTTGTCACACTGGTGACCTAGCTGGTCAAGTGTTGTCCACTGGTGACCTAGCTGGTCAAGTGTTGTCCACTGTGACCTTAGCTGGTCAAGTGTTTGTCCACTGGTGACCTAGCTGGTCAAGTGTTGTCCAAGCTAGCTGGTGACCTAGCTGGTCAAGTGTTGTCCAGCTAGCTGGTGACCTAGCTGGTCAAGTGTTGTCCAGCTAGCTGGTGACCTAGCTGGTCAAGTGTTGTCCACTGGTGACCTAGCTGGTCAAGTGTTGTCCAGCTAGCTGGTGACCTAGCTGGTCAAGTGGCTTTTTTGCGAATTGCCAGTTATAATATTGAATGTCTTTCATACTTAAAAACTAATGCTTTCACACGTGAATTTCAATATATAAATTATAATATATATATATTATATATATATATATATTATATTATATAAATATATATATATAAAATGTATGTGTGTGTCGTGCCAAAGAGGTAAAACTTGCAATTTTGACTTAAACAGCAACGCCCTTCTTGCCGAATAAGGCAAGCGAAAATTTTGAATATGCAATAATTTTGCAACAATCGTTCTAAACTTAGGGAAAAAATATATTTCATTGTGTTTGTTTATTAAAAGATTGTAAACTTATCTGAAATATATTTAGTCGGATTAGGCTAAATTAAATTGAGCTTGTTATAATATGATCAGGTAAGTTTTCTAAAGTTCTTTTGGTACAAAATTATTAATTTTTACATTAACACAAATGAAAAAATATATCTTTAAAAAGGACTTAATTTTAAATGAGTTGTTGCTAACTGACCAGTTTTCTGTATTCGGCACGAACAAGCGATACAAGATGCAAAGCAACCATGGGGGAGTTGAATGATAGTTCTAGGCCCTTCGTGTTGCAGTAAACACATCATCAGGAGCTTGCAATGATGAAGAAAGGAGGAGGTCCAAGCAAATACGGTCACAGGGAACGTATTTGCTGGGACCCTGTGATCGTATTTGCTTGGACGTCCTCTCCATCATGGCAAGCTCCTGATGTGTTGGCTGCAACACGAAAGACCTAGAGCTATCATTCAACTCCCCCATGGTTGTTTTGCGTATGTATATAATATATATATATATATATATATATATATATATATATATATATATATATATATATATATATATCGTGCCGAATAGGCAGAACTTGCGATCTTGGCTTAAATAGCAACGCTCATCTTGCCATATAGGACAAGCGAAAATTTGTTTATGCAATAATTTCGCCAAAATCATTCTGAACCTAACGAAAAAAATATATTTCACTGTGTTTGTTTAGTATTAAATTATTGTAAACAAATCTAAAATATATTTAGTTGGGTTAGGCTAAAATAAATTGCTCTTGTTATAATAAGGTTAGGTAAGTTTTCTAAGATTCTTTTGGTGCAAAATTATAAATTTTTACATTAACATTAATGAAAAAAAATGTATCTTTAAACGTATAAGAGAAAATTTCAGAAAGGACTTAATTTTAAATGAGTTCTTGCTAATTGACCAGTTGTACATATTCGACACGACACACACACACACACATATATATATATATATATATATATATATATATATAATATATATATATATATATATATATATATATATATATATATATATATATTGCATCAAATTGCACAGTTACCTTAATTTGGCGAAAATTCAAATTCAATCAGAATTTCTTACTAGGAGAAAAAAAACTGTGTGAAGTCCAAAGAAATAAGACGATTTATATTACTAGATGAAAACAAGCTTTAAAATTAGCTAAACATACTAATTAGGAGACCATTCATTTTTTTACTTACATATATCAGGTGACTACTGACCAAGACAGATCATAATAATGAATATACAGCAACAAGAGAAACTCGAAGAGGGTAAGCTACAATAATTTCAAAGAAACTAAGTTAATTGTAGAATCATTGTCACTAAGCCTAAGATGTCTACTCTATAAGAACAAAAAAATGTATTTGTAGATGAGCTATAATTTTTTCTAATCCTCTTGTGTCAGTTCATGGTTATTTTCAGACTGAATTTTGATTATTGGACTTGAACAGTGCTGTCCTGTATAATAATCCCTTGTTGACAAAGTCTGTTTTAAAAATGATGGAGACTAATATTACAATAGAACCAGTGAACATTTGAGCAGAGAGGTGCAGCAGGATTACCAATATGAGGTGACTGACAGTGGTCAGGGGGTTAACACCAACTTTAATTTGCAGGTAACTAAGTTTGTAGTAATTTCCAATATCGTTTCCTAACATTATCTCAGAATTAGTACTAACATATTTATCCGATGATTATAATCATAACCATAATTTGTAAAGAGGTAGAGGGGTAAGCATCGAAAGGCCTCGGTCAGACGACCAAAAGCTCCCAGCTGTAGGTCATCATATAACTAAGACCCGCGTCAGGAAACACGTGTCTTGTTTCCTGACAAACCTTACCTACGCTAACCTCACAACTATATCCCCAACTTTTATAAGCAGAATTTGTGAGCACGGAATTATCATACAGAATCCTTATTTATTCAGCTATACCACCTTACTCAGCAATTAAAAGTCATTATATAAATAACCTAAATTAAGGTCAGTAGATCTGTAAATTATCGCTAAGAAGCAAAAGTTATCCGACTTGAGAACTTACACATTTAAAGAACATGAACCTGTATTTAATAATAAGTTATAGCTAATTTTAAATAATTGTAGCTTCTCCTAATGATCTGTTTAGTTTATTCTTATTAGTCGACTTTTGTCTATATTGGTCAATAAGAATATAATTCATCTTGGAATAAAACACATGCTCTCCTGCGTGCAGTTGTATAAATTGTAGTTTTATTTTAACCTTTTACAATGTAAACTGTTTTCATAAGTTTATATATATATATATATATATATATATATATATATATATATATATATATAATATATATTATATATATATATATATAACGTCTCTATCGCAGTGGGCTTTCCTCGGTGCCTTTAACCACATCAAAGGTGACCCATACGCTCTATATGGTTTAAACTGTCATTCCCTAGGGTTGGCAAGAAAGACATAATGAAGTCGACGTTATCAAGAGAAGCCTCGCTACAGCTGATTGCCCAGACAGTGGAGGATGCTGATTCCTAGTACATCGAAATCTCTGTAAATCCTATAACCGCCCTGGTGGGATCACTATCCCTGAAAGATTGGCAGAAAACTGGTGTTGAACGTTACTTGCGTATCCACTGCCGGATATCTATATCAATTTGTGTGTTTAATAAATTATGATGATCCCATGGAAGAATCTAAGCTCAACAAATATAGGGATTTGAGCCATCAGTACCAACCAGTAGAATCGGAAACCCTCTGGAACCTGGACAGATTTACAACAGGTTTCCTTGGTGAACTATGTCTAGGTTCATCAATACCACCTGTTGCAATGTCTGTGTGGCCATCCAAAGGGGTGAAAATATCTTGCCTGGTGCAGTCTTGGTTCCCGTCCAGCTTCAGAGGAACTGAAGGAGATTCATGTTTTAAAATATTGTTATTGTATACAAAACTGTGACAAAATATATCCTTACCTTAAAAAGGAAATTTGTCGGATGTCTGAAGAAAAATATTCAAATGGCTTCCAGGAGAAATTTTAAGGTTTTCCCCTGAAGCCATTTTATTTACGTCTCTGATACTATAGGTTCGCAAAATTTGCGTCAGAAGTGAGCCCATATACTGTATGTATAATTTATACGGATATAGTCTTTTATTTTGAGCAACCATAGCCTAAGAAAAGATAATAACTGCATAATTACAGGAAAAAAATCTATCAAAGACTACATTTTTTTCCCTTGTCGCCTTGTATTTAGCAGTTTTATATTTATTTTAATAGCTTCATTCGGCATGGGGATTACATGACATTTTAATAACCTGTCAACAATGACATTTATATTGACATTTAAATTAAAAGAAAAAATCTCCAGCTGCTCAGAGGTAGGCCGTTTTTATGATGCAGTTGGTATTTCCTGTCTGGTGCACCACACTTAGTTACTGGAGCAAAGAAAAAAACTGGTCGCCTTCCCTGACAAGTTTATCGCTTAACACTTTCAGGAACTTAAAAAAAAATAATTTTACCACTATCCAACGGTTTCTGATCCTACTGGGACAAAGCTGTAGAATGATGCGAGGCCCAGCTTGTAGAGTTCCGATTCTCTCTCATGCTGCAGCGGGTATGTCTGCCATTGTAGCTACACATGTGTAGTTCAGCATCCATCCAATATCGCAGAATGGCCCATACTGACTTAAGATTTTTTTAATATGATTAACACTTGTTCAGGTTAACACTGAGTATGTCTGCAGTTTAGTCTGCTTAGCTGTAGCAACGCTCCTCTTAATAACATTTGTTATATATTATATATATATATATATATATTATATATATATATATATATATATATATATATATATATATATATATATATATATATATATATATATATATATATTATATAATATATATTATATATTAATTAAAATAATATATATAATAATATTATATATGATTATTATATATTTTAATGTCAAAATCATAAATGTTAATATGCAATTTGACCACATTGAAAAATAACGTAATTGATGCATCACAAAAAGTCTTCCAATCTGTTTGCTGTTTCAGATTCCTGTTAACTGTAGAGCACATTACATTTTTCTCATCAATATTTTTTTTCCAACAACTCTGTTGACAAACACTTGTAATAAAATGTGTACCTTTAATAAGCACAATTACGTAGCTTTAAATATTTTTTCCGATGTTTATATTGTTTCATATCTTGTTTTTCATGGTAACCACTGTATCTGTAGTGGTGCGGGCAGCAGACACTGGCCCCCGAGGATGTGGGAGTCACTGAGTGAGAGCAAGAGTGAGAATATAAAGGAGGTAGGGAGAGAAGGGGCTTGAGGCATGGTAGTGTGGTCACCTTAGACCTCAGGGTTGTGCCGCCACTTCCGGCTCAGGTAGAAACAATATTTATCTTATATTTATCGTTTTAAAAGTTAGTTTCTCTGTTGGTGTTGCAACGCAGATCAGGCACCCAGACGGACTGTCCACACGCGCACAGCAGGGAGAGGGATGCAAACTACACACCTAGTAGGCTCTTTTGAAATCTTTTTAGAGAAGGACGGGCACTGATGGAGCATACGTCTGGGTGCCAGGGCGTTAGGTGTGGGTGTTAGGACTGTGAGGTGCTGATGCTGGTATGGACACCCCCTCGTCAGCACCTTGCAAGTCAGGAAACAAAGATGACAATCCAACCAAAGAAGGCAAGCAGCATGCAAACGGTACAGGCAACTGAGGTGCATGCAGCAGGCAAGCGGCAGAAAAGCAGTCGAGGCAGTAGCGGCGGAGGAGCCTGTTGCCTGCCCTGCAAACCTGGACGGCATGAGGGCTGCTTCAGGGAGTCATGGGTATGCATGGAGGGAGGGGGGGATACGCGACAGCGCAAAGGGCGAATGGCATCGATGAAAGGGGGGAGGGGAGGGCAGGATGGCGTGGCACCTTACTGAGCTGTGGGCGATGGCTTGGCCCTAATGGAAAAGGGATGAGTATCAGGGCCAAGTATAAGGGCTGGCTTGGCTCTATGGAGTGCTGGGGATGAGAGCTTTGGCCTGACACAATGATGGCTTGACCCTGTAATGAGATGATGGCTCTAGCATTGCTTTAGCACTGGCACTAACAGTTGCGTAGCCCAGGGCTGTAGGGAAGAAGGAGTGTAGGGGTGGCACTAGCGGTGGTGTTGCCCTAGGGATGTAGAGTGCAGAGACTGCATGAAACTAGCGGCGGATGGCACTAGCGGTGGCTCGGCCTGGGGGTAGGGGAGGACGTGAAAATACCGCTGGCTTGAGGGATGAGGGGTGAGTCTGGGGCGGCACTGACGATGGCTTGGCTCTGGAGATAAAAGGAGGAACTGGCATGGTATCTGTAGTGGCACTCGGGAAGCATACACTGGCCACTCCACCACGCCACTCATACGGCCAACCCAACTACCTGGATACACCATGCAAATTAACACTCCTTATAACTTACACAGAATCCCTCTTGTTAAGCAAGAGGTTGCAACAACACAGTCTGCAGTGGAAAATATAGAATATCTCTACCTAGCTTGTTATACTTTTATCAAAGATGAGGTGTACAACGTTCAGCTAGTTACCTCTTAACAGACTGGGAAAGAGGGTGATCAGTGTTTTAAGGCAGGTGGTGAATGTGGCATGTGTTTGTGTGTGACCCACCTGGGTTGTGTTGACCCAGGTTAATGCATGTCCAAACACACTTGACACGTTGGCCACCAAGGTAACAATTTACCACACAACCAAATAGAATTCGCACTGGTTTACTGCCAGAGGGGAACATTGAACACACTCGACGGTGGGAAATAGTGAGTGGAATGAGTGTGATGAGGGAGGTGCACTAGATTCTATAGAGGGTCATCAGTGATCATGATGGTGTTGTCGGCATAGGTTTGCTGAGCAGACAACCGGCCGCTGGTGTGCAGGTTCACAAGTACCCATGATGCAGAGTGAGGCGCGTGTCTCCGCAGGCTGCTGCCTTCTCTCCAACTCTATCTTACTCCTGTGTCTCCAACGCCATACTCATACCGTGTCTCCAACGCCATACTCATACCGTGTCTCCAACGCCATACTCATACCGTGTCTCCAACGCCATACTCATACCGTGTCTCCAACGCCATACTCATACCGTGTCTCCAACGCCATACTCATACCGTGTCTCCAACGCCATACTCATACCGTGTCTCCAACGCCATGTTTCTTTCTACTGTGTCTTACCCGTCACGTTTGTTCTACCGTGTCTTCACTGCCATGTTTGTTCTACCGTGTCTTCACTGCCATGTTTGTTCTACGTGTCTACGTGTTTGTCTACGTGTCCACTCGTTTGTTCTACCGTGTCTTCACTGCCATGTTTGTTCTACCGTGTCTTCACTGCCATGTTTGTTCTACCGTGTCTTCACTGCCATGTTTGTTCTACCGTGTCTTCACTGCCATGTTTGTTCTACCGTGTCTTCACTGCCATGTTTGTTCTACCGTGTTTTCACTGCCATGTTTGTTCTACCGTGTCTTCACTGCCATGTTTGTTCTACTGTGTCTTCACTGCCATGTTTGTTTCTACCGTGTCTTCACTGCCATGTTTGTTCTACCGTGTTTTCACTGCCATGTTTGTTTCTACCGTGTTTTCACTGCCATGTTTGTTTCTACCGTGTTTTCACTGCCATGTTTGTTTCTACCGTGTTTTCACTGCCATGTTTGTTTCTACCGTGTTTTCACTCCCATGTTTGTTTCTACCGTTTTTTTCACTGCCATGTTTGTTTCTCCCGGTTTTTTACGCCATGTTTGTTTCTCGTGTTTTCATGCCATGTTTTTTTTTCTCCCGGTTTTTCACTGCCATGTTTGTTTTACCGTGTTTTCACTCCCTGTTTGTTTCTCCCGTTTTTACTCCATGTTTTTTTTCTCCCGTGTTTTCACTGCCATGTTTGTTTCTACCGGTTTTCCTGCCATGTTTATTTCTCCCGTGTTTTACTGCCAGTTTTTTTCTACCGTGTTTTCACTGCAGTTTGTTTCTATCGGTTTTCACTGCCATGTTGTTTCTCCCGGTTTTCACTGCCAGTTTTTTTCTACCGTCTTCACGCCATGTTTGTTTTCCCGCATCTTCACCGCATGTTTTTTTCTACCGTGTTTCAACGCCAGTTCTTCTGACCGTGCCTCGGAGGTCAACTTTCGAACTTTAAAGGGAAAACGGATTTCATCGGACTGCACTTCCTGCGCACTATGTGCCGGACACATCACACCGGTTGAAAGACAAGACTCCCTTGTACCGGGGACTAAATGGACGAGGTTTCTATAAACGTAAAAAACCTATAAATACAAAAAGAATAGTGCCAAAACAATACTTCCCGATAAATAAAACTGTCAGGATTTTTGAGGTTTTTGATTTTTTGTGTGCAAAGACGTTTTTTCTCGGTGTTTAAATTTTTTTTTTTCTAATTTGAAAAAAGTTGGCATGTTTATTTGCCTAAAAGTATCTTTAAAATAGGAAAGGTGTTTTGGGGCAGTAAATATCTAAACATCACGGAAATCTTTGACAAAATGGTTTTCCACATTTTTCAAGACCATTAACGCATGTTTTTCTCTTGATGGATTGAGGGTGCGACACTCTAGTATGGGGAAGACAGTTTTGGGGGGAGGGGAAACCCCCGGCATGATGGTGGAGTAGTCATCACTGCGCCAGGGGACACCCCGCAGTGAACACACTGCTGTGAACACACCTGCTTCACTCCTGTTAACTACCGCAGTACACTCCTGAGTTTACCCTCTGCCTAAGGTATTATCACTGACCATATTTTTCGAAACCGCTTTTGACATGTATTTCAGAACATGTTTTCTGCCGATTTCAACGTTTCTAATAATACATTTTTTACAATGTTTCCACTTACCAAATTAAAACAGTGTTAACACC